TTATTTGCAACAGTGAAAAATTCAAGTGCATATGAACATCACAAAATGATACATTTGCAGCTAGAAACAGGTATCGTTTGCATATAAATTGGAAGAACTAAGTAAACTGATAGACGACTTAAATGTTTCAGCTAGAGGATGGACAAACGACTTTTACTCGTACACATTAAGGGCAATCATATAGTGAGAGTAAATTAATATAATATTGAGATCATCTATCCTCATCTTTTAATTTGTAAGATTGTGTGTGATAAATAGAACATTGCATCAGGGTATGGCTTATGATCCTTCAATGTTGCAGGTATTCGGACTTTAAAAGCCGACGTTTACGTATTTGGTGGTCTACTTGTGGAGTTGCTTGGCAACCGCCATGAAGAGGAAGACTTGGCACCCCACAATTGGGCTCTAGAGCATCTCAAAGCAGGGAAAAGATCGATAGTCAAAAAATCACTTTTGCAAGTAACAATGAACTTGCTTTTAGCATCACAGAAGCTGCAATGTCTGAGTAAGGATAAAAATGCACACCCGGATATGAAGGATGTCTCTGCCAGATTGTCCAATTTGGTAGAAGCAACTCCTATTTAAGGAAGAATAATAATACTGTAGTATTTACTTAGTTTGTTGTACACTTGAGCTTAGTGTGCATCTTTATTTGCTCAAAACATATATATTTTTAGCTAAAAAATATTTTGTTTGTCCAATGCACCAAACAATAAAATGATAAAAAATAAATTTAACATCAGAATTTATATAAAAAAATATTTTCTTTATCCCAAAAATAAGACATACCTAGAGTCAAAGCATACCTCAAAACCATCAATCTTAGTGTAGAAACTTTGTTTTCCCAAAATGTCAAGGCATTCTCTGCCCTAGAGGATAAAAGAAGCACATCCAAACACAATACAAAACAACTATCAGTAGAATCAATGTACTCAAACATATTGTTGCAATAATATATGGGAAATAACTCACCAATAAATATTACTCCAAACACAAACATTGCAAAGAGAAACCAAACCGCTTCTTCATTGAGAGCAAAAGCATATCATTTGTGCAGTGCACAGCAACAGTTTTCTGCTCCAATTTCAGCTTCAAGGCATGGAGGTTTAATTTGGAATTCTCGTCTTTGTACCATTCTAACCGAGATTGAACATAGATTAAAGAGCTAGCAGCGATGTAAAATTAATTCCTCTCAATTCTTGAATAATTGATGAATATGATTTTTGGAAACATACCACGTTTTGACGCTTCAAAAATTTTAGATCCGAAATACCTTTTTTGACAAAATTGGAGGCTTTCCTGCATTGATAGAGTAGCTATACAATTCCTTTTCTTCGACGGCGAAGAGATCACACGGATTATATTTTTGGAGAAGAATCAGCGACCATGGGTAGGTTAGGTTTCCGCGTGGAGAGTAGAAGAAGACAGCATATTGGTATTAATCAACCCTAATTTCGGGTAAAAATTAGGGGAAATTGGGGTAGCCGAAGAAGAAGAATGGAAAGGCGTATCGCAGTACCTGAGATTTCTTTCCTTCCGTGACCCAACGCAGCGAGGAATCAGGCTAAATCATATTCGTTTCCTTTCAGCGTGAAGATTTGCAAGAAATTTCCTTCCTTCTACGCGAAGAACTTGGGCGAGAGAAAGAACGTAACTGGAGGTTCCGCTTATAATTGGACGCTTGTCATCTGATGTGTCATCAAATTAGGAGCCTAGGATTTATTTCTTTGAGTATTGTTAAATTTCTCTGGTTTCATACACAGACCACAGAGAAGGATGATGATCTTAAAGCTGGCATTGGCAGTTGTCTTAGCCTCCGGACTCGCTGCAATTCTTATATATATGACTGGTCTATCGGATTTCAGTGAGTATACTCATTTGTCTTTGAACACTTATATGAATCACTTTG